TCGATAACAACTGGCGGACTAACACTACTGACCACCACTTTGTCGTCGTCGTCAGGATCTGCTATCACGCGAACCGGTAGCCGCTCTTCGTGATGATGATGATGACCGCTATCGTCGGCGTCGCGGCCGATATCGTGATGGCCGCCGTCATCATAGGTGTCGTCATCGCTAATACTAAGCGTCGGCGTTGTTGTTTTGGCCGACTATTTGTCAGTTTTATTGGTGTCGTTATTGGTGTCGATATAATATCAGGCATTCGCGGCTCAATTAGTTCATCCGGATTTACCGGTTTGGCCAGAATAGGTACCGGTGTTTGAGCTRATATACYACTACCACCACCGATGTTTGCTGTGGCCACCGGCACCGGTATACCATGAGTATCGGTTGCTAACATTTCTCAGTTCAAGTACCGAATAGGGATCGGGCATCGGTTTCGGCGGTGCCGGTACTTTGGCCGGTACTCTCGGTACTAGTATTCCCACTAATTCGGGCATAATCTGAGGTTTTAGTTCAGTTTGTTGTTGTTGTTTGTGGTCACCAGGTTTCGGCTCAACAACACCACCAGCGGGTGTGGCCATTGTGGCCATTGTCTGGTTCTTCGGCGGCGACGGTTTTTTCTGCGGATTTCCTCCTTCACAGCCGCACATATCGTCCGGACAGTTCGGGTCTTCGGCATTACAATTATCGTTACACCAGTGATACATACCGACCGAATTTTTATGCAAACCAACCGATTGACACAATCGGAAATCGGGAGCTCCCGGTCCGGACATTGGATAACAACCTTCGGGATTGGGTTTAACCGTATCGTCCAATCGGAAAGCTTTCAGGACTTTCACATAAATCGTATAGCGTTTGAAGGCTTTGGTTTTGTACGGACCCTTACACTCCAGTTGGCCATTGATGGCCATTGTCGACGCACCGAACTGTCCTCGTTGGACACCATCAGTCGGGTGACAATGTTTACGCCAATACCAGAATGCCGTACCCCAGGCACCGTCCTCTGTATCGGATACTAGGTTCGGGTTGTCCACTAGTCGCTGATCGCCGTACAGTTCACGGGAACATTGTTCATAATTGTATAGCCAGGTCAGTTGGATATAGCCGCGGCCGTAATAGTATTTACCCGGCTGTTCCTTACCGGTTCGGTAATCTGCGGGACAGCCACTCGATGCACATTTGATCTCTTTTTTGGCCTTTTAATTGTAAACCACCCAAAAAAAAAATTATGATTAGTATGCGATACATGAAACTATAGTAAATATTTTGATGGTTATTACCTGTAGACCGGCCGACTCCCATAGTACCTGAGCCAAAAACATGGCCAACTCGTGTTTGGTAGTAATACCGCCGGCACTGCCGGCCAATCGCATGATTGTATCATATTGTTCACGACTGGGTACGGGATATACGTTATCAGTGACCGCTTTCTTGAACTCCGTAAACGTTACCAAATCTTTTTGATTATTAAATTTTTTTTAAAAATTTAATTAATTAATTAATTAATTAATTATTATTATTACTAGTAGTAGTAATATTAGTACTGTATATATAGTTATTAATAATTTAATTGATTTTATATTATCATAATATACTGTCTAAAGTAGTACTAATAGTATTATCAAATAAAATAAATATAACTATTTATATTATTTTAAATTATTTACAAATAATTTTATCATAGTTTTTTATTTAGTTAAAAATATATATTTTAAAATTTACTAATATTTTATATATATATATATATATATATCTATAATTATCAATAAATACCGGTATTATATAAGTATTACTATATTTGTATTATTTATTAATTAGCACATGTTATAGATAATGTAGTTTTTAAAATTTATTTAATACAAAAAAATAAAATTTATATTTTATTAAAATATAATTGTTTTTTAATAAACTATTTTATAGTATATAAAATTAATTAATTATATAAAATAAATATTAATAATAATAATAAATTTAAAGTTTAAATAATAAATTATACTTACTTTCGCAAAATGTTGACAAAAATTGTATAAAAATAGTTATTATTATTATTAAAAATTTTGTCGTCATTTTGAATATATTAAATTAATAGTTAGTTTTAAATATATATGTATTATTAGTATTATTATTAATTTATTATTAATAACTTATTAATAAGGATTAAACATTTTTTTAATAAATAAAAATAATTTTTTTTGATGACACGTAAGCTATAGAGAGAGATAAAAAACTTTATGAAAATGTTGGCAAAAAATATTTTTGGTTTCAATACTAGAAAACTATTTATTTTTATTTTATTTTTTATTAATAGTTATGTTAAATAAAATACTTTAAGTTTTTTTAGGRGAGAGAGAGAGAGAGAGAGAGAGAGAGATAAAGAAAACTGATTCTCGTTTTTATTATATAAAAAAAAATAAAATATTTTTTGTATAATAATCATAACGTTTAACAACTTTTTTTTGTTGATTTTTTTATTTTGTTTGATGTGTGCACTCAATAATATTATAGTAGTTTTTTTTGGCTCAGATTTTTTACACATAAAATAATTTTAACCTCAATTTGTGTTGTTTTTAAAGAAAAAAAATATATATTTTAAGTAAAATATATGCATATATTATATAGATATTTAGTGTAGAGATAATTATTAGTAATATTATTATAGTATTATTATTTGCATATTTATATTGCAATTATTATTATTATTATTATTTTAAATTAAAATGATATACAAAATAGTTGTTTGCCTACAAAACCAATCATTAGTTAAAATAAAACTTTTTTTTGTTGTGTAGTTTTTTATAAGTTATTACTAGTATTTTTAAAGTAATATTTTTATTTCACTCAATTGAAAATATTATACTTTAAAATATTATTTTATTTATTTGAAGTTTTTTTTATATAAATATATTGATATACAGTATATTTGTGCTAATAGTATATTAAATAGTTTTTTATATGATATTACTATAAAAGCTAATTAAAGGTCAACATTATATACACAGTATTAATATATATAAGTAAAAGTCATTAACTTTAATGACATTAAAAGTCACTATTAAATCAATTTATTGTACAATAAAAAAATATTTTTTTATTAATAATAAAATGGAAATTATTATTATTTTTATTATCAAAAAAATATAATAAATAAAAACAATTACATTATATTTATTACAATATATAATACATACTAAACATATTTAAATAAAATACAATACATATCCGCAAAAAAAAATTATTTTATTAATTAATGATTAATAAAAAAAGTTTTATATTTTAATGTTATTTAATGTTTAGTATAAAAAATTCAATTAGATTTTTAATAATTAGTTAATTTACATAAAATAAAATTATAATTTTTTTTATATAATAAAATAGTTTAGAAAATAGTTAATATTTTGTTGTTGTTATTGTTGAATAAATTTGAATAAAAAATTATTTATTTTTTTTGTAATAGTTTAGTAAAAGTTATTATTTTTTAGTAATATTTTTTCTACTATTAAATATTATATAAATAAATCCATATAATAATAATTGTTGTATACATTAGTTTTTTTAGGATTTTTATTATATAACTATATAATATGTTAGGTTATGTTATGTTAAGGTTAGGTTAGATTTAATGGTTGGTTAGATATTTTAAAAAAAAAATAATTTTATTTAATTAATTTTAATTATTAGCAATCTAATTTTTTAATTTATACTTTATATAATTTAATTAAAATCCAAAAAATGTAAAAAAAAATCTATAAAAATTAAAATCTGATAAGTAGTAAAAGTAAAATAATTAATAATAATTTTTACAATTTTTTTAATTTTTTATTTTTTGGCTCAAAAAATAATATGGTAATTTTTTTTATTAAAACACTTAATATAATTTTATTGATATGACCATGGTAAAGTGTATTTTTATTATTATTATTATTATTATTGGCACTGTTACATATGTTAAACAAAACTGTTATAGATTAATTGACGTTATTTTTTCAATAGCATTTAATTTTAATTTTATTTTTTAACAATAATATCAGAGATATTAAAATTTTAATTTTATTTTAAAAAAAATAAAAATATATCAAATCTATTATTTTAATTTTTTTACAATCACAATTTTATTGTTTTAAACTAAGCTGAAATTTTTTTTAACAAATCACTTATTTATACTGTTTATCACTCGATCGATACATACCGTTCCCCATACTCTCTCTCTCTCTCTCTCTCTCTCTCTCTCTCTCTCTCTCTCTCTCTCTCTCTGTGGATATGTATGCAGTTTCCAGACCTGGTTGTGTGTGTCAAACGGTTGTCCCACTTGATTGCTGATGACAATCAAACCCCGATTCCAGGGGTGTATAATCCCATATCAAATATACTGTATATATATATATTTATATATTAATTAAATATAACTAAAAAAATAAAATAATTAATCAAAAGTAACAAAATAAAAACTATATTATTTTTTACTTGAAGTGTGGGGGGTGGGGGTGTCATCAAATAATAATACAATAATCATTGGTCGGTATATTAAAAAAAACACAACTAAATACAAAAGCGCCTATAGATTTTTGTTGGTTGGTTGGTATGGTTTTTAAAATTTTTTAATTTGTTGAACAGTTGGTATACTACATACCTACCTATAAATATATACGGTATATAGTCATCATATAAGTATACTTACCGCACCCGCACCGATACTACTGTACTTACCCACCATCATCACCACCACTATGACTAGTATTGGCCTCCTTGACCACCATTACCGCCGCCGCCGTATTGATCCATTAGATGTCTAACCCACTGATGATTCAATACTTGTTGAATGGTTGGACGTTCCGTTTGTTTCGGATGATTGGTCGACAACAGTAGATCCTCTAAATCTGGGCTCAGGTGGCAAAACAAATCCCTTTCAAATGCAGTGAGCGGTTGATCCTCAGGTATTTTCTTCAGTACATAATAACACCAACGACTATGTGTGCCGGCAAACTCGGTCAGCAAACTGGTCATCAGTGTATGGCCGAGACTGTATACGTCCATCGGTCGGGTAGCCATACCGACAAATTCTCTGTGCCTGATTTCCCGGGCCGACCAACCGTTAATACCCAGTCCTCTATTATCGGGAAAAACGTTAGGTTCCCCCGATAGTAGACCTGGGCTTCCTCGAAGTCGGCCAATTTGAACAGGTATTCACTGGTCTCCGGATCGGTACGATAGAGTATATTCACAGGTCTCAGAGCCAGATGACTAATCGATTGGCCATTGGGTAACCCGTTATGCAAATAGTCCAGAGCCCAGGCCATCTGTACGAACCATCGATGACAACTATATTCGGGCATAACTTCATTGGGATAGCGCTCCAGTAGGCCCTTCAAGGTACCTTCCATCATATCCATTACCATACAATGATAGGAGTATTCGAACGCTGAATACGGCTCCTGTAGCCCAAAAACATGTGTAATCCTCAATATGTTCGGATGATTCAATGGCCACATAGTTTCCGCTTCGCGATACAAACCCAACAACGATGACCGCAAATCCCATTCAAACTTATATTTCAGATGACATACTTTTAGCGCCTGAACCACTTGATGGTTGATATTCACGATTTTCCAGACCTGGTTGTCGAACGGATCCGATTGGTTGCTGGCTATCAACGATTCCAGTTCGTAGCCATAGTCCTGGTAGAGTATCCGTCGATGAAACTGGAGTACATGTCGGCCACCGAACGAATAGCCTTCGCTGGCGTACATCGAAAACAATAGATCCATACCTTCGTAGTCGTCTTCATCTTCATCGTAGTAATCGTCGTCTTCTTCATCGTAGTAATCGTCTTCAAATTGTTCCGCCATTTTCTTCCTCTACTTCGTTGTTGTTGTCGTTGTTGTTGCCGATGATGATGAAGATCTGGCTGTTTGTTGTCGGGTAGTATTGTTAGTATTGTTGAGCACCGGGTGGTTGTGTTATTAGGTGTCCGTCCGTACGAAATGTCTATATATCTATATATCTCTTTTGTATCTGTAATCCAATGGTTTCTGTCTTTGATTTTTTTTGTTTGTGATGTCTGTGTGTCTGTGAGTTTAAGATCAAAACTTTATATTTTTCTATTTTTTTTGTTTTTTGATTTTTTTGTTTTTTGAAAAAATTAATTGTTATTTGTTTGTTGATTCAAACAATACAATTGAGAAAAAAAACTATTTTTTTCAATTTTTTCCAAAAAAAAAAAATATTATTATTTTTATTTAAACTGAAAAATTATTAGTAATTATAATAAATTTTTTATTGATTATATAATGTACTAATGATGACAACGATTAACATTTAAATGTACTATAAATGTAATATAAAACCAGTTGAGAATGCTAGAAAGCATTTCCACACGAATTCCTAATCATAATTAAAAATTAAATTCAGTATGATAAAATAAAATCAACTATAGTTATGTAGGGTATCAAACGATTTAGTATGACAAAATAAACAACTATAGTCATGTGGGGTATCAAATGATTCAGTATTACAAAATAAACTACTATTTTCCTAAAAAATAAACTTAAATAAGAAAAAAAACAAAAAAAAATCAAAAAAAATTTGTAGCGGATAGTGGATTCGAACCTATGTCCTCGTGGGACAGACAGACCGACAGACAGACAGACAGACAGACAGACTTATAGAATGCATATACGTATTCCTTTCAGGAATTCGTGAATATAGTATTTTATGTTTTCAATAAATTAAATGTTTTATATTTTTTGTGTTCAATAAACTTTTTATTTTAAAAAAAATTAATTTTATTTTAATTAAAAAAAAAAATCTATTAATACATAGAAAACAAGATATTTAAAAAAAATAATATAATAAAGGGTTTATTCAATAATGTAATTAAAAAATTGATTTGATTTAATGTTATAATTGTTTTTCAAAAAAAAAAATAAAAATAAAACAAAACAAAAATGAAAATTCATAGCAAACCAACAAAAAAAAAATGAAAATTTAAATTACGGTTACAAACAAAACAAAAAATATGTCCAAATTTTTCGATCCCTTCCAACACCAGATTCAAAGAGATGGTAGTGTCCAACAACAACAACAATCAGCTACAGGATCGGTACGTCAACAACTACCAGGTGCTCCCAGTCGATCACTGCCTACCCCGCACTCGATGCTAAGCGATTCAATTTATTATAAATTTCAGGAAACAATGGCCCAGGACTTTGAGGTCGTCGACTCTGATGAAGTCAATAATAATAATCAGGAACTGGAGCCCAACGTTATAGGTATACCCAGAACAGGTGAACTAGAGTTAGGTTCGTCACGGATACAGCCGGTGCCGCAGTCGACACCCGGATCAATGACTCCAGTAGTAGTAGTAGCCGATCGGGACAGAGATATCCAAGTTTTAAACCAATTGGGTTTACAAACTCAACTGTCCGCTAATGAACTGCTGGGCATCGGTACGTCTGGACGGGTATATCGCGGTAGGTTTGGGCCGGCAATTGGCCGACTCAGTCGTCAATGTGGTCTCAGAAACTTTACGCCCGGAGCCCGGTTTGCCGTGAAATGTGTTGAACTAACTACCACTACTGGTTCAGCGGCTACTGTTCAACGCAGGATATCCTACGAAATAGAGAAGCGTACAATGGAAAGGGTTAGCCATCGAAACTGTGTACCATTTCGTATGGCCATCAATATGGGTCCACCCGTACGGGTAAGACATCTAACAAATCCCGGGTATAATTTTCTAAGCTATAATCGTATGTATTTAGTAATGGATGAAAGTGATCAGGGATCATTACGAGATTGGTTGCAAATGGTTGGTGACAACACCATTAATAGCTACCTGTGCTGTAAACTTGTACGCGATATGATTGCCGGTATGTATTATCTGCACCGAAATGGTATAGTTCACGGCGATGTACACGACGGCAATGTCCTATTGTTCAGTGATACTAACGATACGATTGCCGACAGCAATCTAGTGGCCAAATGGGTTGACTTTGGCTATAGTCTACTATCTGGTCATTGGTCGGCCAGTCATTACGCTTCGGCAACTGATTGGAAAAAATTTCAACGAAACGATTGCCAGGAAATGATCAGACTATGCGAACAAGTATTAGAAAAATCGGATCCATTAGTTGAACCCAAGGCTAATATCAGTGACTGGTGGCTACTGGTCGACCATTTAAGACAGACACCTAATCTTAGGAAAGTTATCGACAACGATAAACAACAATCGGATGATACGATCTATACATTGGAAATATTTTTAGTCAAATAGTTTTTTTATTTATTAGTTCATTGATTATTATTATTATAGCGATTATGTGATATATCTCTATATTATGGTAACAAATAAAATACATATTTATTTATTTTATTTTTATAATAAAAAAAATCAATTAATTTATTTAACACATTATCAAACATTATAAAAACAAAAATCTAAAAAATAAAAATCTAATCTATAAAAAAAAAATCAGAAAAAACTTTTAATATCCAACATATAGGAGACATAATGTCTAATCGTTAATACCATATATAATGGATAAATATAAATTATAGAAAAAATTGATCTAGCTTAAAACAATACATAAAAATAAATTTATAATCTAAGCATTGATTAATTATTTAACAATTTTGATTTTTTTTTATGAATTTTAATAAAAACGACAATTTTTTTATTGTTTTTTATTGGATTTTATTTTGGATAACAATTAAACATAAACTCAAAAAATTTATAAAAATTAAAAATATCATTACATTATTGAATAAACCCTTTTTTGAATTTTATTATCATTTTTTTTTGTTTGTTTGTATAAATTGATTAAAATTTAAATAGTGATAATTAATAATAATAATAAACAATAGTTTGAAATAAAATACTTATAAATAATACTTTTTTTCTCTATACTGTATATAATAATAATATAGTATATATAATAAACTATTTTATGAATTTATAAATTAATACACACTTATAAAATATATATTAAAATATTATTAGTTGATTTTTTTAGTTAGTATTGTTTGTTAAAAAAAATTTATTTTTAATTTTTTGTTGCTTTTATAGTCTAATTTGCTATCAATCGGTACCGAAATATTTTTGTCCAAAATGATTGGGCGCCACCTGATGTACTTCGGAGGTCAGTATAGTCATCGACGGGAAAGTTTTGGCCACCGATGTAACCGCTAGTGTTGTTGTTGTGATTACAATACAAAAAAAAAACAAACAAAAAGTTTTAAACAATTTTTAGTCTCAAAACTAATTATTTAATTTAATTTCAAAATTTATTTTATTTAATCATAATTTTATTATAAACTGTTTTATTAACTAAAATCAATTAACTAACAAACTAATTAAGTTTTTATTACCTAAAATAAATTAACTAAATTAAGCTAATTATTAACTAACTAATTATAACTAAATAAGTTTTTATTAACTAATTATAACTAAAAAGTTTTATCAACTAAATTAAGTTTATTATTAACTAAATAATTAACTAAATAATTAACTAAACAAGTTTTATTATTAACTAAAGCAAATTATAACAAAATTTAATAAATTATTTAGTAATTAATTAATTACTGATTTATTTTTTGTTACTTTTTTTTTGTTTGTTTATCACTCAATACACTAACCATTTGGCGTACAAAACAAGTTCAACAAAATAATTGACTTTTCATTGACTCCGTGTTCCTTAAGTACTTTGACCGCCCGGACCACTGTATTACCGGTTGACATAATCGGATACATTAGCAGTACTTTACGTTTCTGAATGTCTTCGGGAAACTTGGCATAGACTACCCGTGCTTCGTGTGTCTCCTCATCCGATTGGACCAGTATTTTGCCGATACGTATCGATCGGCAACAGTCTCGCAAACCTTTTTCCATGGCTTCGCCGCTGCGGACAATACTGACACCGCAATTACTTTTCAGATACTGTAGGCCCCGGTAGACGGCATTTGTCGGCGTCGATACGTCTATTGGTTGCGACGGTAACTGATTGAGACC